GAGAGAGGGCACACACATGAGGGGCAGGGCAAAGAGAGAGGCGGAGAAACAATCTTAAGCAGACTCCTCACTGAGTGCGGAGCCCAACGGGGGGGCTTAATCTCACAACCCTGAGATCATGACCTGAGCCGAAACCAAGAGTGGGATGCTTAACTGACTGCGCCACTCAAGCACCCCCCCTTTTTTTTTTAAGATTCATTGATTTATTTTAGAGAAAGAGAAAAAGAGAGAGACCAAAGAGAGAGAGCGCCCATGTGCGCAGGGGGGCCCGGGGGGAGGATTTTTATGTATATATAAAGGGAATAGCACTATAATAACTACTGTGCCAAGTACTACTATGTTATGCATTTCATACACATTAACTCTACTGATCTTCACAAATCCTACCCATTTTACTGATGAGGAAACCGAGGCTGAGAGAAGTGAAGTAAGGTGACCATAGTTCAGCAGAGGTAGAATTTTAAATGGATCTGTTAATCTCTAAAGCTCAAGCTTATCATAGCCTTTCATGGCTTCTTCTCCATCCTGGCAGGCCCTGACTGCCTCCCAGAGATTGTTAGGATTAATGGCAAGTAAACAGTTTGTACTTTTCTAAAGTAAGCAAAGGTAGAGGCAGAATAATGATGCTCTTTTTTTATACCTTCTACCACAACAAAACCAATTAAAAATAAATGAGTATCTGATTTTTTTCTTTATGCTCTAAGACATTAATCAATATAAGCCTCACCTTATTAAATGAGAGAAAAAAAGCTGTTTTAAGTTATACTAGTTAAGAAAAACTAGCAAAGTATATTGAGAATGCATACATACAAAATAACATGGTACCACAGAAAATTAAATGATGTTTTAGCATATTTAAGAAAGACTGGGGATTGATGAAAAAGTTCTGGAAACGGAGAGTAGGGATGGTTGAATAACACTACGAATGTACTGAATGTCACTGAATTGCAATGCTTAAATAGTTAAAACTGTAGATTTTATTTTATATTTTATTTTATATCACTGTAAATTTTATGTATATTTTACCACAATTGAAAAAAAAGACTAGGAAAGGACTGACAGTAATCCATGCAAGCAGACCAAACTTCTAGGCTAAGAACTGGGAGGTGAGCTTATTACATACAACTTTCATAGATAGCACACAATCAGAAGTTATAATCAAGACAACAGAAATCATATTATGATAAGAGAAAATGGACAAATGAGATCTGCACTTTGATAATCAAGAAGTGATGTCAAAATCTGTGCCAAATTATCATTTTAAACAGTATGTTCTCTGCTTATTTTTATTATGATAATCCAAACAAATAGCGTCAAGTTCTTTAGATTAAATCTATCATCTAGTCTGGTGCTACTTTCTATTATTTCCTATCAACTTTTACTTCTGAAAGTAGATTTTTCTTTTGATCAAGTAAGTATTTAGAAAATAAAAGTCTTGAGGGCGCCTGGGTGGCTCAGTTGGTTAAGCGACTGCCTTCGGCTCAGGTCATGATCCTGGAGTCCCGGGATGGAGTCCCGCATCAGGCTCCCTGCTCGGCAGGGAGTCTGCTTCTCCCTCTGACACTCCTCCCTCTCATGCTCTCTGTCTCTCATTCTCTCTGTCTCAAATAAATAAATAAAATCTTTAAAAAAATAAAAATAAAAAAAATAAATAAATAAAATAAAAGTCTTGAAATCAAGGTCAAATATCCAATGTTGTTCAAGTCCGGCACTATCTGAATAAAATACGTGTGATGTATAAAAATACTCTAACACAAGGCAAAGGTCATATACCTGAAGAACACTTCTGAGATGCTATATTTAGAAGCACTTCTGTCCATTTTGGGGAAGCCATTTTTGATTGAATTGCTTTTGAAGATACAACTCTGCGAAGAAAAACTAAAAAATCCCCCAGATGCAGTTCGGCTGCATGTTGTTTCCTAAGAGCAGCTGAAGAGGGAAAAGACAAGTTCACATTACAACCAAAAATCAACAGGAAAATGTCTTATCAAGTAACTTGCATTTAGATGCAGGATGCCCAAACTTAATTCAAAATTTAAGTTGTCAATTAGCTGCTAAATTTTTAAAACTTAACAGAATGGGGAAAGGTCAGAAAATAATGCCAAGCTTAAAACATTTTTTACATTTGTGTACAATAGTGAGGTTGCTAGAATAAAGTATGTGTATTTGGTTTTGTGCATTTTCTTTTTTACTGCTATTCTGAAAAACAACAGTTCTCTATCCAAGTCTAGAGTTTTACCAGGTAGAATCTGAAGGAAATGGTCTGTGAACCCCCTTAAAATTGTATGAAAATTGTGTATTTGATCAGTAAAAGAGTTCACAACGTGGATCACATTTTCAAAAAGTCCATGATCCCCCAGCCCAATCAAATTAAGAATCACATCTCTAAAAACCCCTTGGTGCTTTCAGATTCTATAAGGAAACAAACTTCCAGGCCTGAATCTGATATGCCTGAGCACTAACTCCATGTATAAAGATCTTTCATACAAACGTGCCCTAACCAATCTTCCCAGTTTTTCCACCAGCATCAGTACCAGACTCTCGGCCCCCTCATAGATTCCCTCCCCCACTGTGCATTTTGAGACCAGAGAACTATCTGCTCTTCATGTAATACACCATGTTCTATCATCATCCAACACCTTTTATACCCTCTCAGCCTGGCAAAGTCCCACTCAAGACTCAAGGGGAGGAAGGATGCCAGTGAGGCAGTTGCCCAGAATGTCAACCTCTAAGAGGCACAAAAACATACAAAATCCTAACAATCTGAAGGCAGGTATACACAGCACTCCTTTCAGGGAGATTCTGGCATGTCAAATTAAGGAATACACAGACAAGTCACTTTAGAGGGAGACCCCCGTACCAAGGGCCACACTTAGATGGCCAGGAATCTACCTTCACAGACATCTCATCATAACTGGAGGACTTCTGTTCTGCTGAAATGGGTGTGCAGGTCTATGACAGAACTAGAACGCTGGCAACAATTAGAGACCATTGTACTCCTTTGCTACACTTCCTCCACATGGTACTCTAACTCTTCTTTGCTTAAATGCTAATAAGCAAATATTTTTATAATATCAGTTTAAAGAATATAAAATTATTAACCTACCCTGGGTACCCACATATCACTCCAACCATTCCTTCAAAATCCAGTTCAAAAGCTACCTCTTCTATGTGGCCTTCTCTCTGGGTAGAGATCCTTGGGAAAATCTCTTTTCTCATGAGGCCTCCATTCTACCCCCCATCCTCACTCCCAGCAAGTATCTCTGTAACAAGACACTAAATTAATTAAATTAACTGAAGTCTGGAGACCTTAAATATAAAGCTGGTTGATACACCTTGGTGATTCAGTTTGTTTCAGTAACAATACTATGTTTGAAATGAAAGGTACACCTTACTTTCAGTTAAGTATTTTAGAGAGTTTGTGGGGTTATTAAAAGCTGGCCACTGCATGTGACCAGAATCAGTCTCACTCCCAGCCATCCCCATGAATAGAGAGAGTACAACATTCTCTCTAGGATGACCTATGTGGATTCAGTCTGCTGTTACACCTACCGAGTTCACTCATGGAAGAACTGTTTCTTTCTTTACTGGATATGGAAGGGCCCAGTTTTCCTGGGAACCTACAGGTTGAGAAGTAACTCTATTACGTCTTCCTTGCTGTCCATATGTGCAGTATTCAGCACAGAATGGTGAGAAACTATTACCTTAACCACCTTGTATTCCTCACTGGATCTCAGGAAAACAGGAGGTGGTATTAAAAGCTTGTGTTTATTTTACCCCCTCTGAGTCTGCCCATGCTCTTTGTCTAAGTACCATACTCTCCATATGAACAGGGAGAAGGAATTTGCCACAGGTTCAGCCTCTGAAATCAAAAACTGGTCCTTAATCAGACTCATCCATCCTCTAGATTCTGACTTAAGAAATTCAGCTCTTTCTTCTGAGCTTCTTGTATTACACTGTAATTATCTGTTGGCATGTATGCCTTTCTCATTACCCTGAAGATTCCTGAGGACAGAGACAATGTTTTATCATTTTTGTATCCACAGGGTATTTCCTCTATCCACTCACCTATCTACACAATATTATTTAAATATTACTTTATCTAATTTTAACATTATTAAAGGATTTTAACAGAGAGGATTTTAAGGGCTCCCAGAGTTTATTATGGTAATAAGACATGGTAGTTCTGCAAAAACTTTTTAAATAAATGACCAATTTTAAACTTTTATTCCTTAATTATGTAGCAGACAAAGGTAGCACTTCTGCTGTTCAGGGTTTAAATTCTACCGAAATACAATGTTCACTATAGTTTTTTAAAGCTATGATCAGATGCTCATATTATATAGCAATGAAATATATGACAAATACAATAAGTTTTTTAGTGACCAGGAAACATAACAGCCTAGCAAGAAGTTCAGCTATTCTAATTCTAACCTAGTTCCCAAATATGAAAACCCTTGGTCCTGGAGGAACACTTAAGTCAAGACTATGATTAAAGATGGGCTGTCAAGATCAAATGCTCAAATGCTAAGACATAACCTGGGAGAATCAGTCACCTAGAACCTCTAGATTCTAGACCCGGGACAGCCAATGAGAAGCTGAATCTAGAGAGGAAGCAGTATGGTCACTGCATCAAGGTTAACTGACTCTAAGGAGAGGAGGTTCGGTCAGAAGCTCATCTAAATCATACGTATTTGGAGAGAAAAGGGGTTTATAAATGAATAAAAATTCTTTCAAAAAATTCCTTCACTCCTCACAACAGAAAGAAGTCTAGATTCTAATGATATTTACACAATGAGGACTCAATAAATGCTTGTGAATAATGACAAAGAAAAGGGTTTATGCTACCTCTGAAGTCTTTCTTCTCAGTTTCTCCACTGGAGTCAACTTTTTTTTCTTCTTCTTCACCCTCTTCTCCTTCCCCTTCTCCAAAAGAGGCCATAAGGAGGACACCAGCTTGGGATAACAAATTCTTCAACTGACTACAGAGTAGGTCCAACAAGGACTGAACTACTTTGGGGCTCAGTTTATCAGCATAAGTCCTACATGAAGTAACAGGAAAAGAACAATGGTAATAACACAGCTGGGCAACTGTTTGTGCTCAAACACATAAAGGAGATTAGAGGGAAATGGAAATTACTAAAATGTGAAAAGCCTAGGTCCCATATAGTTCCACCAAGACATCTATAATGCTCACCCTGTAGTGATGGCTAGAATCTGCAGCAATCTTGTACTAGCCACTTTTAAAGCTGTGCTAAGCTGGGAAACCCCTGTCTTTGGCAACAACTGCAGAGGCTGTCCCAGCATGGTGTCTGTGCCACATAACTGCGACAATACGTTTAGCAGACCAGTGGAAATTGCCAAAGAAACATCCACTGGTTGATAGTGAACACTCAGGGCAAAAACTGTAACCAAGAGGAGACGTTGCTGGGCTTCTAGAAAAGAAAGAAAAAAGAGAGACAACTGAGAATTTTCTTTGAAGTCAACAAAGCATTTACTAAAATAAATCATATTCCAAAATATAAATAGTAATGTGGAACACTATTACATTTTCAAATATTTATTCTCTACCTGTAAATTGACCTACTAATGTTAAAACAAGATATAGAACACCTAAAGTATCTAGCATAAAATGTAACTTGCATCTTGTATTTGCAGGGGCAGTTACTCACCAATGTGATGCTTGTTTGCTTGCAGAGCTCTCTCTAGGGTAGCAGACAATTGTTGATAAATCTTATGCACGGCCACCTGGATTTCAATCTGAATATTTCTTTTAGCCGCTCTGATCCCATCCTGAATTATATATAAAGATTTACTTTTTCTATTAGTAACAATAACACCTCCTACCCAAATAAAAGTAGTAACATTTTATCCCACTCTATGATAAAGCCTTATGGCGATTTTTAATTATTCAGTATATTTCAGTATATAAAAGTTTTATAATAAGTTTATACTTAAATGCTTGACAATTCTTGATTCTATATAATCTTTCTCCTTTCCCACAAAGCAATTTTTCTTCTCTAAATATGGAAGACATAAAGACAACACCTAAAAAAATTTTTTTCAAGCCATCAGAGAAACTAGGTAAAGTGATCAAGTGCAAATGTAAATTCTTGAAATCCATCCTCGCAAACACCAATCCCTATCCCAAATTAGATCTATCTCTATCCAATTTGGCTAAGGATTAAGAAAACTGAGCCAGCAAAGAATCTAAAAGAATAACAGTAAAAATGGCTCACCTGATCCCAACTATACTACTATTACTCAGGAAACCAAACCAATGAGATACCTTTAAGAGTCATTTAAAAGTCTTTATACTTTTAAACCTCAATCTTAAACACCAGAACATTTAGCATTATTAAACTGATTTTGTAAAATATATACATACACACACACACTCACTCACACACACACTCACACACATACACACGTGTATAAATATGCTTATTTATTTATAATCTAAATGTACTGCAAGGTGTCATCCTCACACAACAGATCCATCACCCACCTGATAGTGATGCAATCGGCCACTCTCTCCTTTGGCTCCTACATGTCCCACAGTGCCTAAACCAAAACACCCTGCTAGAAACTGCAGCCTCACAGATGTGAGCAGTGTGGATGACTGGAAGCCTGAGCTTGACCTGCTTCCTGCCACAGAGATGCTACCTTTTTCCTCCATCCCAGACAAGAGAACGAGGATCTGGTGAAGTGCTTCTAAACGAAGCTTGAGAAAAGTAAAATAAATATATTTTAGAGTCCGGACTCTTTCACTGAACTGAGATACAACGGAATTCCAACACAGATAATATATCACTTAGCACACAGAAAGCTCTGACATTTCTTAGACATCTATTCTATTAAACATTTATTTTATTATTATGACTTTTTAAAAATCAAAATATTTCTAAAAACTCTATAAGCATACTTCAGTATAAAAGAGGCTACACAGGAGGGCGCCTGGGCGGCTCAGTTGGTTAAGCGACTGCCTTCGGCTCAGATCATGATCCTGGAGTCCTGGGATCGAGTCCCACATC